GGGCGGGAAATAAACTCTTTCACATAATATTTTTAAAGTTATTTTAAAACTCTTTCTGGGCTTTATTCTTACTGTAATATCTCGTGGGGAGTAACCAACTAGCTAATGAGGGAAAGTTTCTTCATAAAAGAATCCCAGTCTGTCAATGACCAGATTTCTTATAGAGAGGGAAGGAGAGGGGAAAGAGAATACAGAAGATTTTACGAAATGTATCAATGACAAATATGCTTATTTAGATTCTGGGGCAGTTAGTTTGCCAACTTGCACCTGTGTGAAAGTGGTGGGGTTGAGACCTAGCTATCATTCAGGTTACACCCTGATGATGCCTCCTTTAGGGTTATGGTGTATTTCTAAGAGACACTGGGAACCTTTCTCTGTCTCTTTGCATTTCAGCTTGCTGGGGCTCTGTGTCTGCTTTCAGGGGTGGCCTCATGTAAGCTGCCAACCCTGGGAGCCAACCTCTTGAGCTGTAGGCGTCTTGCCACGTTCCCACCGATCTTGGACCCATGTGCCTCTGCATCCACTGGCCTGGCATCTCCGTTTTCCACTTCATCTTTCTGCAGCAACGGCCCATAGCTGTGAGTCTGAAGAGGGCCCCGGCTCCAGCTGAGCTCAGAGCCATGGACTTAAGCTGAACTAGGCTGTGACGCTGTCAGGACACAAAGTTCTTTCTTACACATGTCCCTGGCTTTGTTTTTCTAGATAACCCAGCCTAACACAGACTGTAATTCATCTAAGTTTATTAAAAAAAGTGAGACTTAGGAAATGTTAACAGTGTATACCTTACCCACTGCCATCGAGTCAATTCTGACTGATAGCATAGGATAAGGTAGACCTGCCCCTGTAAGTTTGAGACGCTAACTCTTCATGGGAGTCAAACGCCTTGTCTTTCTCCCCCAGAGTGGCTGGTGGTTTCAAACTGATGACCTTGAAGTTAGCAGCCCGAAACATTACTACGCCACTAGGGCTCCCGTTTAACAATGGATATTTGATATTAAAATAACTGTTAAGGTATAATATGGGTTTACACTGCTTATTTTTTAAAGTTTATTTACAAATAAAATTAAATGTCCAGAAATTTGCTTAAAAATAATCAGGGTGGGGAGATGAGACTATAGAGAGATAAGATTGCTTATAACCTAAGTACCTGTAGATAATGACTAAATGGGAGAACATCACATAATGTTGTATTCTTGCTTCTCACTTTTCACATATTAAAGGGTGGAGAGGAAATGGTTTTGGATTAAATAACTGAAACGGTTATAGACTAGAATCAATCTGTGATTTCTGTACAAAATGTGGGATGGTTGATAGTTATTTTCCGTCAAGGTGCTGGGCCAAGACTCAGTGGTTTGGCACATGACTTAACAATTCCATGATGGCATCTGCTGTGAGCAACCAATAACTCTCTAATAGGGCAGAGTGTATTCCCTTTACTCAGGTTACCACTGTTAGGCAATTGAAAGGGAGTATTTGCTTCTTGCTGGTCTGGCTTTTGCATCTGGCTCATTAACCTCGGGTTCTTAGGGCTTGGGCCAATGGTCTACAATAATGCCTGCTGACTCTGCAAGCCATCAGCAGCCTGCCATCTAACCTGCCATTGGACTTTGTAGCCACAAGCCTGACCTGATAACCTTGGGTTCATTGGCCTCTGCATCCACCAGTCTGTAGTCTTGCTCCTTCCTGGTTTATCAGTTTTTACAGTCCCTGGAGTCAGAGGCCTCCAGTTTAACAGCTGACCCATCGACTTGGACAGACTTCCCATCTACAAATGTGACTCATTTTCTTAATATAAATTTGTCTTTTTAAAAATTAATTACATATACAATTATACATACACACATACATAAACATACTGGTTTTGCTTCTGCTTCTTTAGAGAACCCAGCATAACACAGTCTCTACTAAGATGAAGGTCAGGGTCATCTGAGATCATTCGCCCTTGAAAAACTAGTTATTAATGACATACAGGTACTAAAAGACAATGACTCATTTTTTATAAATATCAGAGTAAAAAATAGTCTTCATATAGTCCAACTTTTACACACAACTTGCTTATATGTGCTTTTGCTAGATTTTTAGAGTAACGTGCACTTATTACTCCCCTCAAACCTAACGTCAGAGAACAGAAACGTGATCGAGGATTAAGTTCGTGAACACATCTTTCAATCAGAAATAAACGGGTTTGGGGAGTACTACTAGTTTGACACTTTAAATTCTAAATACAAAGAAACAATGGAGAATGTGGTGTTTGCTTTTAGTTTATTAATTTATTTTGCAGGAATCTTTGACTCTCCAAGTATGTACGGTTTGGAGGTACAATGCATGCATAGCCTTTTAAAATGCCTTTGTACAATTTCCATCTCAAAATAATTTCATTCACAGCATACACAGAAATCTAAAAGACATGATATTTACACGATTTAATAAGTTCTTGCTGTTTTAATGAAGAAACTGATCAATTCTTTTACAGTAGGGAAATGTGGACATTAGATATGCCATTATAAATAAAAATTCAGAATTGTTCAGTCTCAAAGCAACTTTTCATGGCTTTAGAAATTAAAATTGAGCCGTCATTCTAGTAATCTGAGTGCCCAAGCCATGCAAAATCTACTTGTATTAAATACTTTGGGGATGCAAATAATACAGGAAAAAAATTCATATTTGGTGAATGTGAAAACATCATGAGAATTAACTTTTACAATAAGAAAATACTGTTAATTTTCAAAAAGATACAGTAGTGGTGCAACACAGACAGTGCCCAATTATTTGGATTTTTTTTCATGTAACATTTCAGTGGTCATTTTGCTTCTTCTACAGATATATAGACACACACTGCAACACGGACTTCTTCAAGGTCAGAACAGGGGTACAATGTTAACAGAATTCCATTCTTACCTAGAACGGGCCATTTTCACATTCTAGGAGACATCATTGATATTATTAAAGGACAACATTTCTATGCCTTATAGTCTTGCTTTTCATTTATATTGCCAAAAAGACATTACAATTACCTTTTAAAATACTATATAAAATTGAATTGCCACAGAAAGTGGGATGTGAACCCTACATGACTGTGACAAAGCCACGACAAAATTTAAGGAAACATTGATTTAATAATTAAAAAGTACTAAAATTGAGACCAGCTCCTTAAAAAATCATTAAACTGCTCATCACTTTCCCATTTCTGACAGGGAAATAAACAAAAAAATTAGCAACACTTTCCCCACCATCATTAATCTGCTCTACAACTACATTTTTACAAGGCATTTCTTTAAATCCCCCCCACCCCCTGCCTCTACGTTCTCCCATATAAGGTCAAAATAGATTCAAAAGCCTTTACAATGCCTACAAAGTTTTTGGCTCCTCAATTCCCATTTTAAACTTTTTAGAACTATGCCATCATTTAAGGGGGCAATGTACTTTAACAGAGTGGCAACTATGCTTTCTCACAACCCAGTTTACAAACCAGTGAAATCATGTAAAATATAGTCAGGTCTATGTTACCAGATGCAAAAAACGAGCTGTATTTTCAGAGACAACTCTAAGTGGACACAAGACGTCTCTGCGAGCTGACTGAAAGCATGCTGGCACCTCAGCAGCCAGGCTTCGTCCACTTTTTATCCTACCACTTGGATGCCAATGGTCAGGACATATCAAGCTGAATAGGAGCTCCTTTTGAAAAGGCACCTTGAAAGTTGGGTGAATTCTTGTTCTAACTGGCCCTAAGCAAGAAGCAGTCTACAGAAAGGACCCAATTCAGGATGTTAAAATTGACCAGTGTCAAGTAATTTTGCTTATTTTCAAAAGTGAACACAGCCTGGTGGCTTGCATACAAACTTGTACAAGATGAGAAATTTACGCATTAAAAAACAAACAAAAAACCTTCCTGAAAGTCCATCTCTGGAGTCTCTTACCCCACCCCTCTACACCTATCGAGACTCTTTGCTCAATTTCCCCGGCAGGTGAAAACAATGATTGACTAGGTACATTGCCAGAGAACTGAAACCATGCATCTACTGTATGATAACTGCTTATTAACCTTGATGTATTTTCATGCACTAGTATGAAAGTCATCTACATGGTGTTAATAAAGCATCAAACTGTTTTCATACATGCTACTCTCCTTCTCAACTGCCAACTGCCAAGTTAATTGCTGTCACTTCAGCACATCACTATGAATACTGGGAAACCTTTATCTACTCTGCTCCTTAAAACCAAGTGGGGTGACCATCACTAATGAGCTCCGAAACTATACAAAGGCGAAGGCATTGGCATATTATGGAACAAGAGAACCGAGAGACTGTTACTGAAGAAATAGGACTGACAGATAACCAGTGTAACAAAGCCTTTAAAAGCCGCTGCTTTCAGAACAATGCTTGCAAGCCCATCTGCTTTCTCATCATTATTTTCACAGTTTTGCCAGTTGTTGGATGAAAGATGTTTTTATCAGTGTAATTACACAACCAGGCTTTCTTTGTGAGACGAGTGATCTATTTTAAGGAACTTTCCACATATGGAAAAATGTTTTCAAAGCTGTAGGTGGAGTGTGAAATTATGGTTTTGATGGAAAAGTATGATGAGTTATTATGCCTTTGGTTTCATTATACTGTTCTGTGCAGCTTGTTTTTCCAGGTCTGCCAGAGATTACTGCTAAATTCAAATACAATGACAGCTTGAAGTAAGAGTGAGAGAGAGAATATGTATGAGTATGTAGGGGGCACATAGTATAGGACAGTGAAGATTCCCAAAGTGATAACCTCAGGTGTCATCCTTTAGGACTGGGAAACCTATCAACTTCATTGCTGTTTATATTCACTGAAAGGAGGGGCAATTCCAAACTCCAATTTTGAGCAGGTTGGGAAGCCAACAGCGGTATGTATCGAGTGAATTTGGACTCATTCGCAAGCCCACAGAGCAGAGTAAGAACTGCCCTTGTGCATTTCCAAGGCTGACTATCTTTATGAGAGCAGAAAGTCTCATCTTTCTCCTGTAGAGTGCCTGATGGGGGTTTGAACCACCAACCTTGTGCTTAGCAGTCCAACACATAACCCACTATGCCACCAGGCCTCCTTCAACAATGGTGGAGGTCTTCATTAAATGTGCTGGTAGTAACTGCCTAGTGATGAACCCTAGTAAAGCACATGGCTTTAAATCTCTTCAGTTAGCCACACCCTAAAAGGTCCGTTTCATAAATAAGGAGTGCTTTAATATTGTCTGGACTACCTGAACAAAATCAACATCGTCTCTGAATACCACAGGTTATGTTGGAAAAGTTCTTACTTTTAAAGTACTTTGCATTCATCTTTCTCTATTACAGTATTTCTTGATGAGCTTTCTTTTTCCTAAGTAAGGCAGCAGGCAACTTTATGATATTGGCCAACTGTAATCTCCCTCACATTGTTGTATTAACATATGTGCAAATGAATCTTTACTGAACAGCTAAGATTGATTCTTTCTCAGCTAAATTAGGATAATGGCACAAAGTATTATCTGTGCTGTAAACATGATAAATTCTTCACACAATTGGAAAGGAGAGAGGGAAGGAAGGAAGGGGAAGAGGGAGGAAAACGGAATAGGAAAAGGAAGGAAGGAAAGCCCTATGGCCTGTAAGCATGTCTTACAGAACCACAGCTGAGCTCCAGATTTCCAAATGGATTTTGGAATGGGTTGACATTTGGCATACAGTCCCTGGGCTATTAGCAAAGCGCAGTTTTACAAGAATGTCATTTATAAAAGATCATACTTCATAGGAACTTGCTTGCTTGCAAAACAATGGCCTTGTCAAAGCATGCAGTAACTTAAAAATATACTATTATGTGGCATAATTAGGTCTTAGTTCCCAGTGTTGATACAGTTTGATGAATCATTGTACAAACAAAAGGGATCTGACCACCTCTGATTGTACGTCAAAACAAAGGGTATGCCTAATTCCTGACTGTTACAAATCACATTTTATATCTTGTTTGTGTCCGTGTATGTGTGGTTGAAATTACCCCTGAAAAAAGCAGCAATTACAAATACCCTTAATTACTTTAATTTCCCCATCCAGAATAAATCGTATTCTGGGTGCTTTTTCCTATCCTCCTCTTCAGCAAGAAGCCACAGGAAGAAGCTGGGGGTGGGGGTGGGCCTCGGTTTTTCCAGAGAACTGTCATCAGGTATGTCTGCTCTGGCAATTCACAGTTGGTCTGTATAAACTGTAACATTTTACATCATGATTCAAAGTTCTAGTTTCAACAATAAGGGCCACTCAGCAGTAACTTTAACATTAGGGGTTCCACAGAAGAGTTCTCAGCTTCTCTGAGTACATTCTTTCAGGAGCAATCCTTTTCTGATTTCCAGCATCCCTATCTATCACGTGCTCTGTAATAAGTTGAGGGAGAGAAAGAGGGAAACAAAACCAACACGCAATCCCCATTGCTCCTCTAGTGAGCAGAAGTGAACAGTGTCATTCTGTCTCCCCCTGTGTAATGTACAATGAGAAAAGCTGGGCCAATGGAAAGATTCCCAAAGCTTCCATTTCGTGGGGTAGGTGCTCCAAACATCACTTGCGACTGTGTGCAGACTCTTCCGAAGTCAAGCGTACCTCGGCATCTCACACTGCTCGCAGCGATTTAGTGCGGGGTGGTTCAGAAAGGTGCAGCTATCACAATTCCAGGGCGCCCCCTCAAAGTCTTCATCTCGGGCTGGTATCCGAGGACTCAGTTTGGAGCCAGATGGGTGCTCTGAGGGAAGTCGGGATTTGAGAGAGAGAAGGGGGAGGGGGGAAAAGAACAGAAACAGATGAATTCTTCTGCCTGGTTATGATCCATATTGAAATTTAAAATTACTCCCAAAGTGCCGGAGAGGTAATATCCCAGGACCAAGTAAGCCAATTACTAAGCATAACTACAGGAAATGCATAACTGAACAGAGTTGGATGATATACAAGGGGGCTTCAAAAAGTTCATGGAAAGCTTTCATTATGTTAAACACCATTTTTCCACACTTTTAGAAGGTAGTCTATTTTGTTCTAACCAATTTACTTTTTTTCTCCCCTCTAATTAAGTAGATGAACACATAGATGACCTTCCAAGTTCATTATCTGTAGATAAGATATTCTTGACAAATGAAAAAATAGGGATGTTATATAACAAATTAAGATTCTGCCTTTTCTGGGTACCTTTCCTCCCTTTAAAGCATCTAAACCTGAGAGCAAGGACCTTTGGTGATGCTGTCGGGTAAACAATGAGCTGCTCACCACAAGGTTGGCAGTTCAAACCCACCAGTCACCGCACGAGATAAAGATGAGGCTATGTCTTCCTGTAAAACCTCAGAAATCCAATGTAGGGTCACCAGGAGTCGGAATGGACTTGATGGCTGTTGGTTTGGCTTTTTATTATTATTCATATTCCTGACAATATACATTGCTGGCAACATTAAACAACCACTCCCTGGGATGTTTTATCAAACAATTAAAACTGATCTTGTCTTTCTCCTAGGTTCTCATTCTCTTTAGTCTTGTGCTCAAAATACTTCTTTCTAAACTATCTATACATGGGGGCAAATTGATACACAGTGACTTGAAAACTTAGATTAAAAGCTTACAGGGGAAGGAGTTTAAGTGAATGGTCTAGAAACAATTCAGAACAAGGGGTGCGAATTGGTTATAACTTGAAGAACGTAATCAATCATACACGGATTTGTAAACATCAAAACTACTAAATTGGTATAGGCTCTGCCATGTAAATTCTCAAACACAACAAAAATTTTTAAATATTAATTTTTAAAGGGCTCTTTGCTTTAACAGTTCATTTATAAATCTTACCTTTGGGGAACAGTACCAACTAGAAGTGGGGTCAGAGAATGGAAGGCTAATGCTATCTAAGCGGAATTCACCCTGGAATTTGGGGCAAGGTTAGGAAGCTGGGAAAATCCATTTGTGAAGCATTGGAAATCCTCAGTCAACCGAAAATTAGATGAAGATCTAAGGCAGTGGTTCTCAACCACCCTAATGCCGCGACTCTAATTCAGTTCCTCATGTTGTGATGACCCCCTAACCATAAAATTATTCTCATTGCTACTTCATCACTGTAATTTTGCTACTGTTATGCATCAGGCGACTCCTGTGAAAGGGTCGTTCGACCTCTAAAGCGGTCGCGACTCACAGGTTGAGAACTGCTGATCTAAAGCAAAGAACCTTCCTAAGGTAGTTTATTGTGACACCCTGGCTGATAAACACAGTGGGTTTAATTGAAGGGCAGAGGGATAAATGACTCAGTGAGTCTCACCTTCCTAGTTCTCGGGTCTCTTGCTTTCTGATGGTTGGACCAGGGTGCAGCTGCCTTAGCCAGTTCCCTGCTTTAGCTTGCAAGGCTCGCTTCCTGTAAGACATCCCTGAGGAGAAGCCACATGGACCTACCCCGATGCAGCCCTGGGTGCTGGAGCTCCCGTGT